TGCTATACCTATACCCATACTATACTAACTCAGTAATAATGAGTGAAGAATAAGCTTTTGATATAGAGCTTTACGATACCTAGTCGGGCGGGGGGGAAGGGCTGGTCGTGTAGCCCGGTATGCTAGTTTAAAGAGTCAACAAAGCAGGACGGAAGGGAACCGTTTGCGGCGTGACTTCGGTTTTAGCGCCCATCGATTGCATAAACACAAAGATCGATTCTGAGCGGCTATCTCATTTGTTTTTGTCGGCCTGCTGCAAGGTTCGCTAACACCCCTGTCTAGAATGAGAATATCAGCGCGATTGCCGAGTTTAGGGAAGACGAATATAGATCTCCTTTACAGCTTTGAAGCTTCGATTTTACTTCGGCGTCCACTTAACCTCACCCCGTAGTTGGGCGATTTGGCTATGTGGTCATAGTCGTGGGCAAACTTCGTGTATTAGGAAGGGAGGCCTGACCTCGGTCCTTTAACCTGGCTTTGGTCACTCGTTATCAGTATCGATCAGAGATACGGCTCTGGCATGCCCTAGATGATTTGCCCCTTTCTCGTAGAACTACACATTGTTTTTCTAATTGAGAGTGAAACCTGTCAGATTTGGGCTGTCGAATACCATACGCAGATTATAAAGATGGTCTCCACCATCCTTCCCAAAAATGACGATGCCATCAAGAAGCACTACACATCCCTTCGGAATGAAGTCTGCGAGAGTTGATTGATGAATCCTGCAGAGGTGCTACGCGAATTTTCTGGAACTGAGGAACATGCGTCCGAATTCGTACTGTCCGGAGAGAGCTGAGGAGCAGTAGTTGCGGTAGAGGCAGTAATCCCAGAATTACTAAGACCAATCTCTTCACTACTTCTGTTAGGAATCGTACTGTCGCTGTGGTATTTATACTGCTTGATCTGCATAGTACTTTTAGAAGTGCTGTGCCTATGCCAGAATTGCTAGTTCTAGTGATCATACTTGCTAAAACTACTAAGTGGTAAGCTACAGTGCGGTCTGGTTGTGCATGTGGAACATTTTAGCCTAGTTTGCAGTAGTAATCTACATGGGGATTTTTTTAGTAAATTAAATAGATTAAGATATGTATATTTAAATACTAGCTGGACATCTACCATAAATTTTTGTCAAAACGGAGGGGGAAAATAGTGACGATATAGTACCAAGTGGATGATAGTTTGACCATTGATTTCGTTTACGTCTATTATAAACATCTCTCGTATTCAAGGGTGTAGCTTTTGATAGACAACGCTAAGCACCAGGTACCGTCGTTATGCATTATAAGCTCAGTGGTTACCATACGTTTATATCCTAAGTTACTGTCATTTATAGTCTTTAGTGTAAATACAGAATTGCTACCGTATTCAGCTACAGTTTGGAACTTACAGAACGCCTGCTCTCTAACGAATGCCAGAACATGTTCAAAAATTTACTTATCCTATTAAATTGTTATCTTCTATACTGTAACATTATCTGAGTGGTTACACGTGCATCTTATTTTTATAATAAGCCTAAGTGCTGGGAGTACTCGCTTAGAAGGTTATTTGTCGTCCACGAAAGTGATTGGAAGAACCTGCTTGTTTTACTGGGTTTCTTTTTGTTGCTGTACGGACGACGCAGTCAAACAAATTGAGACGAATGCTCTTAAGTGATGTTGCCATTAAAAGTCACTTGACTAAGCTTTGTGTCGGTCGAGCCCCCAGCTTTGTTTGTAAGCAAACAACTACTCCCGGTTTTTCATGCGGCAGTTCGGCCATCTATGTTGTTAATGCCCGAGTTTTGCTCCAAGCAGGTTGGCTTGAGCACTAGTTAGGCTTTGCGTGATAATCAACTTCCCGCAACAGAAACCGCGTTCTCCCTCATCTCTTATCCATATCCGTGTGCAGTGAAGGAGTGAGCACTCGTCCCAAAAATCGCAGTGTATTCCTCAATTAAAATGTCGGTGACACAAGCCTGTCGTAAGAATAAATTATAAGATGATAATCGAAACTGGTCTGCTTAGATCCGTTGGTGCGACAGGATATATATGGAAACACAGGCATTGCCTTTTCATTCACTTTCAGTTTTCTCAACTTTTCGACAGTGTAACTTTGCAAATCACAATGGTCTAGTGACCGGCCTTCCAGTAACTTAATCACTAAGGGTCGAAAGCGCCTCTATTACTCTCATTCCCTCGATCTCAAATTCGCTGGACGTCGTAAGGTGTGGAGTGTGCGTTAAGCCAACTAAGAAATACCGGACGTGGCTGCATACTTGCATTTCCTATTTTACTATACATAAAGTGCGTTGGCTAAAATACGAGGGCACCGTAGGCAGTCGTATAATGCCCAGTGTTTTCTGTGGACAAATAAATAGAGCATCACGCTATATTTTGAAGACGAGTATTCAAGATTTTCAGCAAAATGGCTACATCCACTGTAAAAAATGGGGACGCAAGTAAAATAGTCAAAACATCTCACATTAAATGTAAAAAAACAAAACATCTATTGAAAATAAGGTAGTAGTATGTATATAGCTACATCGGTAATTCAGTAGATGAGGTGATGCGTTTTCCGCTTAACCGTCAAAAGGTGGCTATTTAAATTTCTCTTGCACGCACTTGTATTGATAGAATGCACAAGTTATGTTGGCAAATAGGTTCAATTTCAGATGACTACGTGAGAAAAAATAGGAAGAGTGACGAGTTTTGCGGCAACTTGCTCAATTTCACTGGCAATTATCACTTTGGATATTATATAGAAGTGTTCTCCCTTGGAATCAGTTAACTGTAGAATCTAAAATAGTGATAGTAGTCAATTCTGTCTTGTGTATGCTGGAGCGAACGAAAATTCAAACCATGTAGGTACTGCTGGTTCGCCAACCGTCTGAGTTAAGGGACAGCGTTCAAAGCACCACTTTTGAAACCTTCAGTTACCCCTATATGTTTCCGAATTCAAACACGCCCTGCCTGTACAGCATGCTGTCTGTGCGGTCCCCGAATGCTTCTTTAAGTCACTGACGATGTAAGGTGCTTTGCTTACTAAAAGATACTGTTGTGAGAAAAAATTATCGTTAATATCCAGTTTTTTGTGATGGACATTATAAATAAATAACTAAATTGTATATTTAAGACCCAAGGGGCCCTTTCATTACAATCTTAGTGCTATCGTGAAAATAAGAAAAAAAGAGTTCCGATTAACAATGAACTCTTATAAAATAATTATCTGGGCAGTAAAAAAATCTTCTACATCGGTGGATGAGTTCAGCGAGCCACCGATTTCCAAAAAAATGTTGGAGAAAAACTACCTAAATAGGTAGCATGGTATGATATGATACAGTTAGATGGGATCCTGCTGTTGAGGGTTCGAGACGCTCAAGTTGGCGACCAAGCGATAACCATCAATAGCGACCTCGAAAATCACCGCTAGGATTGCAAAACGGTTACTTCGTCGGTCGTTCTTGTGAGGTGGTTTCTCTCGTCTGGCTTTGATAACCGGGCGCAGTCATGTGGCGGGCGTCAAACGTAGTGCGTTTTTTACACTTGATTCTCCACCTGCAACCACGTGAGCAGCTAGTCCTGGAATAGTGATAATTAGGGATATTTCAACCATATCAGCTATAATCATTCTCTTTTTTATCTCTGCTCACGGATAGTTACGAGGACACGCAAAGGTACTGATAGAAGGCTTTAGTCTAAATGACGTTTTTCTTCGTTAACTTTATCTTACCTTCATTATAACTTTTTTTGTCACAATCGACGAAATGGGGCCATCAGCGTCCTCTATAACATCTTCCTCGATGTCCCGTACTCCAATTTTTTGGCGTCTTTTTTAGCGTCGGTACACGATTTGAATGGTCCGACTCCTCTTGGCGTGAGTGCAGCACGCAGTCCAGGAACCACTGTTTTTCGATCGTTCATTGAGTGAGTGGTAACTTTACCGGCAATACCTTCTTAACGTATGCGGCCAAGCCTAAGTTTGTTACCGAAAACCTTGACATTCTTATACGAGTTCGTCTAGTCAATTTATCAAAACGCTTGATAAGGGTCTACAGTAAACTTCACGTTATTTAAGCTCGCACTACTTATTACTTATTTCCTTAACTTATTAGATTATTAATGTATTTACCTACTTTTAGTTTAAGGTTTGGTCGATTTTGTATTATTGATGCTTATCATTATGTTTATGTATACTTTAGTTTTGTCTAATTGTATTGTACTTTAAAGAAGCTTTAGGTGTATTTCTTATTTTGTTTGTTTTACTTCAGTTGTATTTGGGTCCAGTTTTTAGTTGAGTTTTAGTTTTATTACTGTATTATTAAGTTTGGTATTAAGTTTCCTTGCCCACGCCCGTAACACCTATAACCTTCGGTCCCGTATTACCCAAAGCAGTTTTTTTCACTGTGGTCATGTTTCCTAGCAATCTTTACCAGCATAATAAGTGCAAGTTCGTTTTTAGGCACATCTGAGTTCGTTACTCTTTAGGCGAAAATATATTAAACCTAAGGAGTTTTACCGAGCAAAGCATGTTATATTTACGTTTATTTTGGGCCCTGCTTGAGCATATTCAGTTTTTTCAAACGGATGCGTTCGCTTTTTCCTGGGAGGCTTTTAAATTAAAACATCTAAAAATAATTCAGTTGAGTTTGCTTTGCCTGCATCGTCTTTTATTTACTTTAATTTTTATCGGGACAAAATTATATATTTCTAAGACAGGATCCGACCCCTGTGACAACGTCTTAAGCATTTTGGAAGTTTTCACTTTTCCTCGGAAAGTTCGGTCTCCGGGGTGTCCGCATTACGGGCAGGGCACAGCGCAGCACACGGACAGTTCAACCTGCGCCGTCATTGGTCGCCTCAAGTGTGACCTATGACAGCGCGTGGCAACTAACCAATGGTTGTGCCCCTGCATTTCTAATTGTCAGCAGTGAATGCGTGCTGGCGAAGGTATTACCTAACAAAACTCAGCGCTTGTTCGTTCTTGAACCATTCAGTCGTTTACGTTCTCTCCGATGGCGTTCGATGACTCTGAAGTCTTCCAGGAAGAACCCCGAGGATCGCATGGCGGGCGTACTCGTGGACCCTACAATAGAAGTAGCTTGTCTTTCTGTGCATATGCTCTTCGTTCCGCTTGTTAGGTGGCCGGTGGCGTAGAACTCCCGGCGCACAAGGTAGACTTAGCAGACCGCATTTCAGCGTTGGCAGACCAGTTGCGAGACAACCAGCGTCTTCTGTGGCCCCAGGTACTTCAGAGGTTAGCCTGCCCTCTGTTTCTGATTTTGCCCTTTCTAGCTACGCAGCCCCCCTTTTGGATTATGTCTACACGGAGGGGGCATACTTCTCACGGAGGAGAATGTTCGTGGGATCACAAAAGTGGCACAGAGCCTCAATCTGTCTGTTCTAGTGGGCTTCGGAGTCCAGTTTGTAGTCAAGAGGTAACTATTTGTCTGGTTATTCCGTCCTAACTGCCCGCTTCATAGACTGAATTTGGCAAATCTGCCGCAGAACTGGGCACTCGCCACGGCTTTCGATATCCAGGCACTGACAGCGCCGTGCCTGCGGTGCATGTACCAGAACTTTTCTCAGTTTTCCGCCAGCGATCTATTTGTTGACCTGCCTGCCGGCCGACACAGTACACATCTGCTTCTTCAAAGCACAGATCTGGTGGTAGAGTCCGAGGATGAAGTTGCAACAGCCGTCACACGT